CATACCACAGACAAATTGCATGTGTGATATACGCTCTATGTTGGGGGTCCTAGTAGGCATATATTAGGAGTACCTAACCTTCGAAATATGCATGTATAGGTCATAAGTAATTGGGGGAATTATATAGAATTGTTAAGGTGACGGCGGATCCATAGTGCTTTCTTAATTTGATTTCTAAAAACACAACTGTTTCTCTTGCTCTTAGGCATAATTTTGCATATTGCCTTATTTTTATTAGTTAAATTCCTTTTAATTTAAGGTCTTCAAATTAAACATCTCAACTTTCTCTTTTGCAATAATTAATTAGAATTTGGTTGCTACGAGTTATTTAATAATCCATGCAGAGAACGACCATGCGAGAATCATTTATACTACAATAACCTTGTCATTCTTGCAAGTTTTGTAGGAGTTTTAATCCTGTTTGCGCATGTACTAAAAAGCCTATCAAGAAATTGGCGCCGTTGTCGGGGATTATTTAAAATAATTCGTTCAAATCAGATTCTGCATTAATTATTGCTGTACATACATACCGAAAAAAAGAAAAAGAAAAAGAAAAAGAAATAATTTTCGTTTTTATTTATTTTTGCAGATCACAGCAAGGTAGTGCAGATTACAATCTGTGCATGGTCAGCACACGTTCAGCAGTTCAGCAATTGTTTCCGTTTGATCCAGAACCTGAGCAATCTTTAAGGAGGAGACGCAGGGAGCAAAATTTGTTGTGGGTTCCTTCATTGCAAGGGACTTTTCTGCAGTCTTTATATTCTGAGGACCTGCACAGTACAGAAACAATGGCTTTTGTTATTCCAGAGGCTGGTGATCCTTTGGGTAATTCTTTAACAGCTCATGCCACTAACATACCAGGTTGCATTACATATCCAGCAGTGGAAGAAGGGTCTACATTCGAAATCAAGCATCACATGTTGAGTATTCTACCTACATTTCATGGGTTATCAACCGATGATCCTAACATGCACATTGCAGAATTTTTAATGGGATGCAAGAATATTTTGGTGAAAGGATTCTCAGCTGAATCTATTAAGCTTCGTCTATTTCCTTACACATTGAAAGATCAAGCAAGGAGATGGCTCCTCACACTTCCATCTGGAAGCATTAGCACTTGGAACCAACTCAGTGAAAAATTCTTAAACAAGTATTATCCAGCTTCAAAGACTCTCGACATGAGAACTCAAATTTTATCTTTTGCCCAAAAACCAAATGAAGAGTTTCATGAGGCGTGGGAACGGTTTAAAGAGTTGAATAGAAAATGTCCACATTCTGGTATTAGGCAGTACGGATCAAGTGCATATATTTTTCAGAGGGTTAAATATGACAACAAAA